ATATTGCGGATTTTACTCGTCCCGCATAAATGAGTTACAGCTTAGTAGCTAGATTTTATATTTATTGTACAATTGTTAGCTTTGAAAATATCTAATTTAGCAGACGACAATTTTACTTGCACTCATGTATATCATGACAAATGTAGATCTATTTCTACCATCTGCATCTGAAAATCTATAAGATGACTTGCATATATACATATTTCTTAGAAATTATATTATGGTTTACCAGTTCGTATATACCTGTATTGTAGTAATATTCTCATATATACTGTATAGATTTTTGTTTGGTTTTACGACGGAGCAACACAATTATGGCGTTAGAAACATGAAAGATGATTTTTTGGTAACCTCAGTTGTTACAAGTTAAGCAACACTAGGGGTCAAAACCACCTCACCTGCTGGAGCTAAGATATGCATAGACCCCTGTAATTCGAACCTATTTAGTCGCCTCTGTAATTCTGATGCTTCAACCCTTAAAGACAACCCTTCAGCTACAAGGGGGGTGCATATATTAAAATAAATACATGTAATAAAAACTAGACATTGATCAAGTATGCATGTGAGAAAGATATATATCTTCATGAAAATATCCTGATTTATTGACTTACGTTTCAATGAAGAATACGTTCAATCACGCTCATATTCAGTGAATGAGAAAAACGGAAGTTTCCTTCTAATGAATGGTTTAGTTTTACGGAAAATACTTAATTAATTCTTATATAACATTCATAAATCTGCTTCCCACACTGTTTTTATTGTAAAAGAGTGACAGCAAGTGAAAGAATGTGGAACACCGTACTTGAGAGACGAAAGAGACTATGAATTTTAAAAAAAAGGCGGGCTGACTGACAGATTGTTTTATCATCAATCACCACATACATGGCATGGATCATAACACATGTACACATGTATCCACTTCCCGTTGAACCCAGACTTTCATATCAAAATTTGTTATTTTTTTATCAGTATCTTCAAGGTTCATAAGTTGTTCCCTTTCGTCCAGAGTCATGCACCTTTGAATTTCATGTAAAAAAAGGGTTTCAAAAAAAAGTATTTCAATTTCCTTTTTTTTCCCTTACAACACAGACACTTCTGTTGATATGTTTTGTTTATTGGCTTATTCTCATGTTAGGTGATGGAATGACTGTTGCCAAGTAGTTGACTTAAAACCACCTGCCCCTCACCGCTGAGGGTTTGAATTCCTACAGGAAGTTTGGATTCGTTCATATGAGGAAGTTATCCAGCTAGCTTACGGAACGTCGATGGTTCTACTCAGGATGCCGTTCGTGCCTGAAATAATGCACGAAAGCGCTTCTGGGGTCTTACTCCACCATTACGTAAATCTTGAACGTCACCATATGACCTGTGTGACCTGTGCTTTTTTTTTTGTCTTTCTACAGAATTCTTGTATCATGTAAGTTGAGCATGCTGTCTGCTCTTATATATTCTGGTTTCTTTTTTCTTTTTTTATTATTGCATAAAACTTATAGCGCCAAACCGTCCCAATAAGGTATATAGAAAAGGTTAAGTTAAATTATCGAGGTACATGTATATTAACCTATATAGTGATCTTATATTATTTATATACCTTATTGAATTTTCAGTATTCATTCGATCTCGTTCATACCATCTATAAAATATCACCCTTAATTCTATTTGTTGTTGACTCGACAATTTCCGTTACGTTACTAACGTAAGGTTGATCGCGTGTTTCATTGATATCATCGTAAATATCTAAATTATATTATTCCAAACGTGTAATCAAAGTGCTGTAAATTTTAATAGTCTCGTATATTAAACATATAATTAAAGCAATCGCAAATTTTCGGCCATTTCCGTCAAACTTCGGGTTATGATTATTTGCTATCAGCAAGATGTGTATACTAGTAATGGACGTTATTTTACAGTTATGATAAGTACTATTCCATTACCGTAATGAAATGTTTTATAGCTTTACTTTGTCTGACAACATATGTTAATAAAGGCCGTAACCATAGATATGTTGAACGTTGATTTATCGAAGATACAGCATGAAATTTACGTACAATTATTGCGATAAAATGTAAAAATAAGTTCAATAATACATGTACTAAGTTTTACAATCGTTTAAAGTGACTTGCTTTCTGTCATGCAGTCATGTCAGAACCATAATTGCAGTTATGAAACAAAACACATTTTGTGGAACCATAATTGCAGTTATGAAACAAAACAAAATCAGGGGGTCGTTTTATCAATGTGTCGTAGTCTACGACATTTTATGTCGGTGCCGTACGTCTGCCACAACGTCGTACGACCGTTTTATGACGTCACATCCATTGTTGCAGACAATAATTCACGTGAGACACAATCTAGCATGTGCGCGCTTTGTTGTCACATTTATCAGAAGTAAAAAAAAAATTGACTTTCACCTACTTTTCGTACAATGGGAAGGTCTAAATTTGGGAAATACCGACTGTCTGTTACCTTTTTGATAAGGGATCGTTTAATCATCACTTTTAGTCGGAAAAAAACCGCGCGCATCTATTCGGATATCATCATTATGTCTTGTTTAACATGAGTGAAATAAATAATTGAATTGAATTGATAAACAGCGCGTGTCTATTCGGACAAACCGCGCACGTCTGTTCGGATAAGCCGCACGCGTCTCCGATATATCTTACTTCACAGTGTTAAAAAGCTCCAATAAAGTGTCTGTATTTTCCTAATAACAACGCGAATAATAACATTTAAACAAACCAAACTGCCTTTCTTTGCTTTTCCTTAACTTAATTTAACTGAACTTTTTATCTCTTACCTTCACAATACCTGACCATTCCGTTCTTTCTTATTTTTTTCTATTCCTTTGTTTCCTCTTGTCATACTTTCCTTCTCTGATTCCTTCCTTCCTTCCCTTCCTTTTCTTTAATTGGTTTTTCCTTTCGAGCCTCTATAATTGAGCCGCGTCACAACAACACCAACATAATGGATTTGCGACCAGCATGGATCCAGACCAGCCTGCGCATCCGCGCAGTCTGATCAGGATCCATGCTGTTCGCTATCAGTTTCTCTACTTGCTATAGGGTTTGTAAGCGAACAGCATGGATCCTGATCAGACTGCGCGGAAGCGCAGGCTGGTCTGGATCCATGCTGGTCGCAAACCCATTATGTTGGTTTTGTCATGACGCGGCTCATATGATATTATTTAGAAATGTGCGTCAAATGTGTCGTAATGTCTGGGGGCGACATACAGGAGACATAAAATAGGAAACCTTCAGCATAATAAATTGTTTTCCTAAGCAACAGCTAGTGCCTGGTTACCTGTTTGCTAATAAATCATTGTTATATGTCGGGTAAGGTTTTTTGTTCAATTTATTATACGTGATGTAAAATGAAGATATTAAATTTGTGATATGTTTTGCAATTCGTGACATCAAAGCGTTTATATGCAAAGTCTACGAGAAGAATAACTCTTAAGGGAGTAAGTATGTTTATCTTCAAAAAGAGGCAAGTATATAAATACAGATGTAAACCAAAAGATTACAAAGTTTGAAATACATCCTCACTCTTTCTTTCTAGGAACAAAGACACGAATTTATTTTCCACGCGCAACTTTCTCTGTTTCTAAACAATGAAATAAGACGACAAGATACAAAGCATTATCTTAACAATAAATTTGCAATTCAGCAGCTCATATTGATAAGTATCTTGCCATATTCTTTGTAATTTCAATCTTATAAGAAATTCTATATTGTTTATGACTTAAAAGAAAATTAATCGTTAACTGCAGTCAGGTATTTCTTCGTGGCAGTTCAATAAAATGTTTTCACCTCTCGCAAAGTAAAGCAGAAGACAGTTTCATCTCTCGCAAAGTAAAGCAGAAAACACGCGAAAATAAGGTAAGATTTAAAAATTGTAACAATATTTTTCATAGTTTAAGTTTAATTCTTAATAAACATGTGACATTTCTTTGTCATTTTCAAAGTAAATAAAGAATATATATGTTTATTTTTGAGTGAATATGTTACATGTATATATATTCCACTGAGAGCTGAGAAAATTCCTATTTTAAATGAGCTAGTAATGTGGATCGATGCGAGATATATTTTATATTGAATAAAAATTCAATGAAAACTCTGTGTTCTGAAAGAAATAAAAATGTCGAATAAAGTTTAAGACATTCAGTCTGGATTTGTATTTTGTAGGTAAGATCATTTTTTTAATGAAACGTTTTAAAGAAGAAATAATGATTTTTCAAGTAACTCGAAGTACGTTTTGTGCCATACTATTTAAAATTCCGTTTGGCTGCTGTGAACAGTTCTGAACCGCGAATTACACAGTTCTGGACCGTGAATATTTTATTGTGTCCTTGGATTTAAGCTGCATGCAGTCACGGTCCCCTCGATGGGCGCCAAATGTCACAGGGTGAAAACAATGTGCCACTTGACCGACATACAATTCCGGGAACCTCGGCATACAGTTCCGTGCCTCTACCGGCTGAGCTATCCAGCCGCTTGCACATTTTCTCCCTTATATAGTGAACAGTTCTGAACCGTGACACATATTCGAAGAAACCATTTCCTGATATTTTCTGCCAAGAACATTAATTACTAAGGAAATCTCACACATCAAAATTATGAACATTTAAGACTTGCAACGCCTATCAAGAAGTACAGGACTATAATTGTCGGGGAGGGGGGTCAAATAACTGATCCAATATTTCAGCTTAAAATACTTCGCATAATATAAAGAAAATAATAATCTAACATAAAAAGTTTTTAATTGTCTTTAGTGTTATTCTAATACCGGAAGTCCTTGACCTGACAGAATGTGAACATGAAGTACATGAACGGACATTCAATAGCGGAAAATACATCGCTTTTGTTACCTGTAATGATAATAGTTAGAGCTACAATGCATCATTCTATACAGTTAATTCAATATTCTTCGATCGTTGTCCAATGTATGCGGGAGTGGACAGTCACTCTCATTTATTTTTGTTGTACTGGCATTCATTTTGTTTGAAGGCCTTCTGTCTCGTGAGTAAGGAAGGAACAAATTTATGAAAAAAATAATATTATGTAATATTGTGAGTGTTATTTTTTCTCGTTAGAAGTATTGGAGAACCGAATAATGTTTTGTTCTTTTTACAGTTGATGTGAATCTGAAACAATCTACTTGACCACATAGTATAACGTGTTTCTAAAACATTCATCACAAGTCGATTATGGACATCTTCTTGGAGGAGCATTCCGAGTACAGACACGCTGTGAGAATATGGAAGACAATTCCGCCGATATTGCTCGTGCTAGGAACTCTGGGAAATTTGTTGACCATTGTGGTTTTAATGAGAAGCAAAAGTCGACTGTCCTCTACAGCACTTTACCTTTCTGCACTGGCTGTGTCAGATTTACTCGTGCTTTGGACAGGACTGTTACGTCAGTGGATAATATACATGTTTGATATTGACATGCGCCACCTGTCGGAGACCGGATGTAAGATTCACATTTTTCTCGTCTATTTCGCGACACAATGTTCATCATGGCTCCTCGTTGCTGTGACGTCAGAAAGGTTTATTGGTGTCTGGTTGCCTCATAAAGTAAAACAAGGATGTACACCACGTATTGCCATAGTAACCATTTCTATAATTGTTGGCAGTTTGATGGCCCTTAATTCACACTGGCTTTATGGAATGGGCGAAAAAGAAATAGAGTATGGGAATGTGACATACGTGCTTAAATGTCAGTCTATAAATGAACATTATGGTGACTTCCTTGGGTTTAAATGGCCTTGGATTGACCTTTGCTTTTTTAGCTTGGGTCCTTTCACAATTCTTTTGATAGGAAACGTTTCAATAATTATTCGCGTGCTCATCAGCAAACATAAAACACGGACACAAATAGCACCTACTACCGGAGGGATAGATATAATCGGAAGGTCAAACAGGACTACCCAACTAACAGCTATGCTGATTTTATTAAATGTTGTTTTCTTCATTTGTACAATACCAATGTCAATATATCTAATTGGTGAACCTAAATGGCTAAGACAATTAAAGACATATCATGACCTTGCCGTCTTGAGCTTATGGTGGTCTGTCGTGAATTCGTTTATGTATTCAAATAATGCTGTTAACTTCATGCTTTATTTTCTGAGTGGATCACGCTTTAGACAAGAAGTGAAATCTTTATTGCGTGGTGGGCGATCCCTATCTATTTTTGCTGCAGGTACTACGGCGACAAGAGTTGGACCTGGATCAACGACCATGAGATCAAGACAAATTCTAAAACCGAGAGAAGTTGGGCGTTCACCGTCTCCAAATATTACGGGTTTGTCGATGCCACAACTTGCAGTAGCAGACGACCACGCAGGACGGAGCAACGCGTAAACGCTTTGACCAGATATATGTCTTGAACATTCTCTCTACAACGATTACTCTATCTAATCTTTATTTCTTATTCACCTTTCTTACAAACCAAAATGTATGTTAAGGACTTTCAAAATGGATAATGTGCAAGAAAGAAGAGGATCAATTGTGTATTTGTCTTATTTAACGTGAAAATTTGTACAGTTACATCTACATGTACTCTTAATCTTTCGCTGTATTTGTTATAAGATGGCTTTCAATCTTTATTTGGTGGAAGAAGACGTCAGCCTCACATATGCGGGTATCATTCAGGCAAGAACCTGTACATCTCGAGCATCTTAATAGAACCACCGATTTTCCTCAGTAAAAATTCTAACACGTTTCTTATTATTTTGCTATAAAACTGATAGGACAATCTAATACATTTTACAGGTATATGCACAACATATAAGATTGGAAAGCTTGTAAAAACATGCCATATGACGTCAATAAACCAAATGGCGTCAGCAAAATTACATATCGCTCAATGTAGTTTTCTATGCATCGGGAAACAGTATGTTGTCCCACTGTTAATCAAAACATATGAGGTCCCCTGAAAATTGTTTACCACTGTGGATCCGAATCCGGACAGAACCTTTCAAAACGTCGGTGGTTCTACTCAGGTGCACATTCATGGCTGAAATAATGTAAGGATGGGGCACCTGAGATCTTCCTCCACAAGTAAACCTGGAAAGTCACCATATGGCCAATACTGTGTTTGTGTGACGTTAAACACAATACAAAAAGGGAAAAAGAAAGTGGGATCCGTCATTGATTCAGATAACATTGTCTAAACATTCCTGTATTGAGATATTATCCTGTAAAAACATAAGCTATATGGAAGGCGCACAATGTGGTATTATTACTAGAAAATCTGGAAAAAGGCGACCCTTCGAAAGCATCAATCACAACAATATTGCATAGAAATTGCAGACTCGGTTTGATTGAGTCGATAAGGAAAATTTTAACATCCTTCACGCCTTCTAGCACCGGCTTGAGTGGTACTCTATTGTCAACACATAGAAGTGATCCCGAAGGACCAGAAAAATATAACAACACTGAAGTGAAGTACGAGGCATTTAACTTTTACAGCTGCCACACAACACTTGACACATCATAATTAGTACATTCATTAGCTATGATCAAATTTTACAATAATTTCCTTCATTAACATACAAGTGCTTGTACTTATCGTAATGTTTTGTGACTATCTCCATTACATACAGATTTAATGTTCATAATAAGATAAGATAAGAGAAGAGAATATAAGAAATTTGTTGATTTTGTTGACTTGTGTGAACATACTAATATGGTGACATTTAAATTATATACAACACAAACACACCCTACCCGATGGGCCTATTAGTCACCGTATAGCACACTAGTATTAACAATTAACTATCGTCATGTCACATAGTAAACCAAAGGAAATTTAATGAGGAGTTATCATAGGAAATGCTATAATCAAAAATTGTTCATGACTCTTTTTTTGCTTTAATAAAAGTGTTATTCTATGTTGTATTGTAAATATGGTGTTTTTCCTTGTATAACTTTCAGAAATAAATTTTGCTATTTTGCGGGGAATTTTTTTTATAAGGCACACCACCATCTTGTCACAGTTATTCTTGCATTCTGGCGTTTCCGTTCGTTTTACCGGAAATTTCAAACTGGGATGACATAAATTTCCATGAAAAATTGGTTTAATAAGTGTTTAAAATATAATGGAATATGGTTGAATATCTGACATTCTAGTATGATGTTTGCGGTTATACGTCATATAAGTCCGTTACCGACAAATGGGCGGGTCCCCAGGGACGGATTTTCCGATCCGAACCGCAAATTATAACAGATATTATTATTCATAATATTATCACTATTCAAATATCATATTTGGTTGTCCTACATAGTGAAAACTTAGATGTTGTCTGATTTTTTATTTTTTTTTTTTTTTGCCAGAAAATTAGTTACTCTATAACAGGTAATGGAATACATCACCGATGCTGCCAATGCAATATTGCAAAGTCATATTATAGATTAAATTTTTTTCTTACGACTTTTGGTTAATTTCATACATCAAATCTTTCCTTCCCTGTCGCCGGTTCGAAACCCGTAGTGCCTTTGGAGAGCTCTCTTCCAGTGTAAAAACAGTATAACCAAAGAACACTTCAAAAATGCCTTTTTGGAAAGGATTCTGAGGTTCGAAAACATGGTGAATATTTAAAGTACTTTACTTATCATTTTTCACAGGTATGACTTATTTAAATAAAAAAGCGCGCTGCCGTTGCAACTATTTAGAATATACTCCTCGCAGTTGCATGCAGACAGCATTAAGTACCAAAAATCCACAATTTTTAGAAACTGGTTTTAATGCAAAATAGCTCTTACTCCGTAATTAGTATGATTATTCTATCATATCGCATGTAAAACGATATTCAAATTCATGCTACATGTATGCCATATTCAAAACTAAGAAGGTATAGACTTTTCAAACAAGGGTTTAAAAATGAACAAAATGTTATCTCGAATTCATTGAAAAATGAACGATCGGCAGTAGCTCACCTGCGCTGCGGTATTTATTTACGAATTGATACTTTGAGGTACACACACAGTGTCATAGTAATGAAATTGAAAACGAAACGCACCTTTTACTCTATTGTACATTATACAGCGAACTACGCAACTAATCAAATTATATTGTTTTATTTTGTAAGGAAGTCAAAATACTACTTAGTTTACATGACAGATAATTTTATATTCAGTATTTTATTCTACAGGATCAAAGCATGTAATATAGCCTTAAACATGATATAAAAATTCATGCAAACTATATCCAGTAACGCCGGAATGTGAAAATAACGCACGATTCTTGCAATAAGTAACGCAGAATTGTGCAATAAATGGCGGATACCTGGCAGGATTTCCAAACCGGTAAGTAAACTGCCCAATATATTTTTATTTAACCGATCTGAAAAAAATGAATTGCCGCATACGACTGCGAAGACATAACTCTTCATCCCTCATCAAGATTATTTCCACGAAATTGTTTACTTTATCAAGATCATTCGTGAAAATGATGTCTTGACAACCGTTTTGAGCGAGATTTTGTCTTTTAGTCGAACAATGCACATTATTCTGTATAATTTCGATTTTCGGTAGGCAAGTGACATAAACTTAACTTCTTATGATATAGAAGATTGAAAATAAACTGATTAAATGTGATTCAAGCCGTTTTTATGAGGTAACGCCGATGTACTTGAATTGTGCTTCGCGGTAACGCCGGAAAATGTGCTTTTTTCTTATATGGTACAGAATTATTACACAGGTTAAACGTCTCTTATATCGGCGAGTATAATGAAGTTATTTGCGACATATAGTCAATGTATTTTCTTCGTAACTTATTAGGAAATATATGATAATTAGATCTTGACAAACTTTCAATATTTTGATTGCATATTGTAGCTTAGTACAATTTGACAATTGAACATGCTGCCCGAATCTGATCTTGTAAGAAAATAAGAACAATAAACTTAGTTTGCAAATAATTGAATATAAAAACAATAGAAAACAATCAAGAGAAGATGTGTATATTTTACGCATGAAACAATGCACCAGTAGAGCTTGAAAGTCTCCATATGTCCTTTATTGTGTAGTCGTGATGTGAAACCCAATTAAAATAAATATTTGGCTGAAGCAATTTGCCTGGTGAACTTCTGTGAAAATGGATTTTTTTTCGCTTATATAAGGAAGTAACTTGTATTCAAAAGATAGTTTGCTTAGAAACTATAATGTCCAAAACTTGTAAAAGCATAACCTTATTGTCCTCTGCTAAAGTTAAATAAATTATAACCCTTGGGGTAAAGATTTACCAAACTCTTAGGGTTTCTTATTATATGTTAACTTGTATGGAAAAACATATGAATCTAGCGTAAGAGTTTATGCTAGACATTACTATAGACGTTTACAAAACTAACAGGACTAATGACTCTAAAAATGGCCACCATTACAAAGCCAGGTCACATCCATACAGAGTCACCATTTGCTCACTCAGGTAGCTTATTTGTACAAATACATTAAATATCTAATACCAATCTCTCAGACTTTGAATGAACTGTTCCAAGTTCACAGCTGAGCAAAACCATTTCATAAATTTACCAAGTAAACGGTGACATAGACTAAAGATAGGTTGAATATATTTTGGTTTCTTAACTCAATGTACATGCATATGGAAAGCTACTAGAGATGTGTGTGTAGAAGATTTTATCTATCCATGCCACGAAGTTCTAAAAGTGGATTTCTTCATTTCCAATAATTAATAAGTGTGAGAACAATGAAAAATTCTATAATTTAACAAAGCCCATTTTCATAACTACCATCTCAATAGGTATTGAGAAATTGCTACCCCGTTGCTACCCGGCTGTTTCCTTGAGTAAGAAATGTTTTTTCGCATTGCTTCGTACTCACTTCAATAAAGGCATATTACGAAGCTTATAGCTCTTTGGTGGTTTCAGGGTTCGGATTCGTGATTGTGTCTTTTTTGTACGCAATCAAACTAACATAAATTCTGTATAAAATGAATTAAAGTTTTCCAACAAAACTATACATTGTATTTGAAAAGTGCTAATAATCGCCGATAAATGGCGTTAAACCTGTGTAACAGTTCAGTACCATATATGAAAAAATCACAGTTTCCGGCGTTACCGCGAAGCACAATTCACGTACACCGGCGTTACCTCATACAAACGACTTGAATCCCATTTAATCAGCTTATTTCAATTTTCTATATTACCAGAAGTTTAGTAAATGTCCCTTGCCTACCTACAATCGAAATTAGACGGTATATATATGCATTGTTGTACTTATAAGAGTCGACAGAAGCCAAAATCTCACTCAAAACGGAAGTCAAGTCATCATTTTCACGAATGATCTTGAAAAGTAATAAATTTCGTGGAAATAATCATGAGGGATCAAAAGTAATGTCTTTGCGGCCGTATGCAGCTGTTCATTTTTTTTTCAGTTCGGTTAAATAAAAAAATATATTGGGCAGTTTACTTACATCATTGGAATTCCTGTCAGATATCCGCCATTTATTGCACAATTCTGCGTTACTTATTGCCGGAATCGTGTGTTATTATTTCATTCCGGCGTTACTGAATATACACGGTGATTTCTTTAGAAGAAAACAAAACTTATTTGTTTCTGAGGAATATTGTGCCTTTAATGTATAGTTACGTATAGTAATCAATGGCTCGGAAACACCAGAGAAATACAACAACCCTGAGATGAAATATTCGGCATTTTTTACAGCTACTAAGCAGTAGTTACATCATCTCTTAACATTGATTGTTTAAGGTCATGTGTTAAGGACATGAAAATATTCCAAGATAAGTGAGTAATCATCCAGTAAAATTGAAGGAAGAAAAAGAAAACATTAGCTTTTCGAAAACAGAATAGAAAACTAAAACATTTTCTCATGTACTTAAATAAATGTAATTAAATTTGCTTTCGCAGAATTAACACTCGAAACCTTAGATATACTGCAAAGTCAGATGTTTGGGAGATGGTTATCAGTACAATTCAATATGGCTGCCATTGATATATGTTAATTCCAATGTGAAGAATTTAATGATGTTAATTGATTTATTATAAGGTAATGAATAGCGAATTCTTTTTTCTTTTCGCGAAATTCCACAACTCGCTAGATAAGCGAAAGTTCATAACTCGCGAAATGTCCTGATTTTACAGTATTAACCGTAAAAATATGAGTTGCGACGGAAAAAAATAAGAAGAAAATGCTCTTCAAGAATTTTATTTCCTCATCACTTACGTAAGATATTTTCCCTAAGTATCAAGTATTGCTTATCCTAAACGGAATATTTTAAATTTACATACATTTATATTGTTGACATCGATCAGAGATCGACAATGACCAAATTAATGGATATTCAACAGTCAAAGATATAGAAAGAGGTGAGTGATTAAAATAGACCTAAATAAATAAATAAATAAATAAATAAAATAGAAAGATTAATATGATAATGATCATTAATAAAAAATAATAATGTCTGTCAATTTTGACAAGTACTAATTCTTATTGCATTTAAGACTTTTTTCATGAAAACAACATTTAGATTTGCATTTGTTTACATGTGTATCACTATATCTTTTGTGATTTTATCATTTATTTTCTAAGGATCTTACTTATGTTGTCTGAAGTTTGTAACTTGAATACTTGTTTATATCTTGGTATCAAATCATAACAAAATACCTAACAAAGTACATAAATTAAAAAAATGATGTATGCAAAATTCTTTTAAAGCGTACGGCACATGCGCGAAATCATTGCCAGACATGCGATAAATAGCATATGAATATTTTGTTAAGGATTGTTAGAGTGAATTGGTCTCTTAATAATTATTTATCACTGTCAGTTAATATAAGTAATAAAGTCAAATGTACTTTGGACCTTTGTTAGGAGTTATGATTAAAGCTCTTGATAAATTCAGATTTTTGGTAAAGAACATTAATGATAATAATTGTTAAAATCATTTGAATAGTGTGTGCATTCTTCATTCTATACATTTGTCACACTTTGTTATTTCTATGTTGAATTAGCTGACATATTTTACATATTAGCTCCTTATCATTGTGACATTGTTAATTTCATTATATAATTACTTGAAACAACGCGGTACTATATGTGTACAAGTTGGAAATAAACTCTTCTTCTTCTTCTTCTTCTTCTTCTTCTTCTTCTTCTTCTTCTTCGTCTTCTTCTTCTTCTTCTTCTTCTTCTTCTTCTTCTTATTCTCCTCCTTCTTCTTCTTCTATAATGAAAGGTTTGTTAAACAATAAATAATTACGTGAATATTTTTAGTATTAGACATAACAACAAACCTAAAACGAATTATGATATGTATGGTGTTGAAAAGTGTAAGATTCAAGTTCATAAAGCAAATAATAAAATGTTCTAGAAAAAAACCATTAATCTTCATCGAATAAACACTAAGGAAATTTATTATAAGAATAACTATTATGTTTTGAAATCAGATCTTATAGACAATGTGCCCATTATAGACCAATCCACTTTTTTGTTATAACTTTCACAATGAAAAGAACTTGAATAAACATTTTTAGATCAAATATTCGAAGAAAAGTAAAGAGTTATTGTACCCGCCCAGGCGTCCGCGTCTCTCTTTGGAAACGTTCTTGCGTGATCGTCTTAAGTCATAGACGTCAAAGGGTTTCTTTTATCAATTATAAGTAAAGATTGTCTAAAATTGACAATAATAAAATGCATGAACATAAACCTTAGCTCAATTGTGTATTAACAAAAATTTGGTTTTCTGTTTAGACATAGAACCTTGATAAACATTATAATGTCTTCTTCTGATGTTTGTTAATATATAGCTTAAAACATATTTTAGTCTTCTTATTAAAATCAATATACCTGTCAATGTATACATATAATCTAAAGAATTTATCGTGATTTATCATAGAAGATGGACAAATGTACAATTAAAAATTGAATCAACTCATGGATCGTAACATTCAGATATGAACATGTTATCTTGATACATATATTTTTGGCGGATATTCCCTTTCATAGTATTCATCACTCCTTTGAGATTCATGCCTCTTTAATAAAGACCTAACGGCTTACAATGTTTCAATTTGTTCTGCCAGGAAACGTGAAACAGTTACGATTTTTTATGCCACAAACGAAATTTGCGGTGTATTTAAGTTTGTAATAACGTAAATTTTACTCAAAAATTTAGTGGCATGCGCCGAGTCTATTGTTTAAAGATAGCAGCATGTCAACGAGCAAAGTATTTAAATATCGGGAAATGGAAAGTGTTATATCATAAAGTTGTACATTGTAAAACCGAATTTGTGGTTAAAATGCAAATGATTGTATGAAATGGATAATTCTGTTCTAACATGAAAGCTTACAATATAAAAATCTCCAGGGAGTTTTTAAATTATACAACTACGCACTTATTAGATATGACGCAATGACATGTCGCATTCTTTTATTTGTTAAATTTGTGTGATAAGCCTTCGCATTCAGTGCTTTCAGCGCTTTGATCTTCAATGCAGTGTTAACGATGATATTATTTTCTTTCATCATGAAATGAATTCAATGACATGTTTCTCATGGAACTTAACACATTTTATTATGTAAGACATCCGGTTTATTTCCTTTAAATGTCTGAAACCATGTGTACTTGCGATACCATAGCTGCTTTTGAAAATTTGGAACTCAGTCTCGGTTTTAGGACAATTCTATAAGAGAATTATCACACCATCTGTTATACCTAAGAATTCCGGGTAGGATATGAAAGTAACAGCAAAATTATCTATAAAAATATTACTTAAATCGAGTAATATTCTCTTTGACGATGCATGTACATAAAAGTCTACCTCACTAGAGGTGTTAAAACTTAATTGCAATACTTTTTTGTTAGCCATTGAAATAATAATGTATATAGGACTTTCGAAAACAGTTATAGTTTAGAGCGGTCGCTATGGTGCAGTGGTAACACTATATGCCTGCCTACCAATCAAGGGGTCGTGATTTCGAGTTCGATCCCCCGCTAATCCACTCAAAGAATGAAATGACTACGAGACTGACAAAACTAGAACATAAAACTCTAGAGACTAAATGAATAGAACAAACGGAGACTAAACAGTTAAAAACATACAGATACAGACTAAACTGACCAGAATTCAATTCAAAAGACATTATAGAAAAAAGAAAAAGAGATTTAACGGAACAGACAGCAAAAGACATAGAAAAAGGGACAGATAACAGCAACGGAACAGGCGACAAGACACGAAACGGAACAGACAAAATAGATTTAAAGACACAAGGACAGCAACGATACTAACAAAAGAAAACTTAATGGAACAGGAAAAAAAGGACCGAAAGCAGAATTAACGGAATACCCAACAGCGGAATAACTTTAAACTGAACGGAAACAACATGAAATTATACTGTAAGAATACAAGAAAAAAATAGAACAAAAAGCAAAAGCAAAACAGACTATAAAAGCTTTATAGGACCCACAACAAAAGAAGAGACGTAATAATATAGACAACAAAACACAAAACGGAATAGCCTTCAAATCGGAAGTTTGATAGGTTATAAAAATGACTAAGACGGAGGTGTCAAGAGACCTAACGGAACAGAAGAAAGCAATGTTAACAGAGCTAGCTCAATGGAGCAGACGACAACAGACACTGACATCAACGACACAGACAGAGAAAGATAGGAGAGAAAAAAAAACTTAAGACACCAACAAAACGGCCGACAGAAAATAGTTAACATTAAACGGAACAAGGCGTTTAATGGAACAGCAAACTAAACAAATAAAACCTAAGATATACGCCGTTCGTTACCCAAACAAACAAGATGGCGGATGCAGCCAAAAAGTAGGTTTCTCCCTTTTTTCTCTGAAATTCGTGATGTTCTGATGTTAAAGTACATATAACAACCTTCTCCACTATTTTCCTGGCACACAGGATTTTATTTCATGATATTTCGTCCCGTACTTCATCTGAAATGCGCGTCACCAGATTCGAAGCGAGAGAATTTTCCACCGGTTTGATCGTGATAACGTACGGCCTTTTCTGTCAAATTCACTGTTTCGTTTACATATATGTATATTAACTGAAACCACTGACTTTAAAAAGTTGTAATATGTCGTCATCTAAGCATTCATGCCCATTCTGGCTAGAATAACCGCAGAAAATATTAATATCGGGGTATTTTCTGGAAATGATAACGTATGGCGCACAAAATATCAATGATAACGTACGGCGCTTTTTTCTGATATAGTTTGCTCGTATGATTGAGTAAAATATTACAAGCAAGTAAAGCAAGCAAGTAAACTTTAAAAAAAACTGCCAGTTTTGTTAATGACACTATAACACTATAAATTCACATCGTTTTACCACCTATAGTATGTAAAATTTGGAAAATTGATATCCGTCAGGTAGTAAAAATACCTGTTCTTGCAAGGTTTCGATGTTCCTGTCATAAGTTAACGATTAAAATGAGAAGACAAAATAATGAAAGAGTATGTTCAGTTTGTTTGCATCTGCTATTGATTGTGAATTTCATGCATTTTTCTCAATGTCCTAAGTATAATGATATTCGAACTAGTTATCTCTATATTTGGTATTCAAATGGAACAACAATTAATAATTTTTTTCGCTGATGATCTCACAAGAAGAAACCATTTTTTATATTATCAGTGTTTGTGTTTCACTTGTTGAAAAGTACAAACTCTTGACTTATTCTGATTTAATCTTATGCTGTGTAACTATATTCAATACATATATACCATATTGTACTTATAGTGATATGTATTTCGGGTTGGAGACATTAATTTACTTAAATAAATTTGAATTGAGTTGATTTCGGTTGAGTTAAGATTCACTACACTCTCGTAAATGTAACTAAAAGGGTTTTGTCACAAAAACATGTCTCCCAAAACCAGTAGCTTGACCTGTGAAAGCCGGTTGACCTGTGAAAGCCGGACAAGCCTATTCTATTTATAGCTCTGACGGCCATTTTGTGCAGCGAAGCGGATCGTGCCGGTGATGTGCACAACTAAGGGTGGTACTGATCACTCCTGTAAAGTTTGGTTAAAACCCCACAAGTAGTTTGACCTGTGAAGGCCGGGCAAGAATTTTCTATTTTTAGCTCTGATGGCCATTTTGTGCAGCGAGGCGAAACGTGCCGGTGATGTGCACAACAAGGGATGCTACTGATCATTCCTGTAAAGTTTGGTTGAAATCCCACCAGTAAGTTTCATGTGAAGGTCGGACAAGCTTAAAGCGTACGGACGACCGGACAAACGGACGGACGGACAGATAGACGGCGAAGGCAAAAACAATATGTCTCCCAAAATAATGTCAATTTTCAGTACAAACGGATATAAAAGCCGCAATATTTTGCTCTGAATAGAATCTTTAATGTGCCATTAAATACTATTTTATGGCACATTAAAGGAATCTCATAACTAAACACTTATATTACTGGAATTAAATGTGAATAATTTCCTTATGGAAATACACATTCATTTTTAGAATTATTGAAATCTATCTTGTCAGTATTGACATATGCTAATATTTCTTTAAAATGCATCTTATTTAGTAACAATGAGCTTTAACTGAATAGAGCAAGATTGGATTTCATTTAGGGTATCATTCATTTATAATATATATCAAACAGATAGAATTATCGATAAATTTACATAACATAATGCATAGATAATTCATCTATCAATAACTTCTAGGTAATAAATTGTTAAATATGCAGAAGCATCATAAAAATGATATACCGGTAAACCTCACATGAATCTACATGTATAACGTATCCGGGATCCTTTGACCTTTAGTAAAACTAAAGGTCATTTCAGATTGTTGAAACCAAATACATGTAACTGAAAATGATGAGAGAAAGTGTTTGATAATTATATTTTTTATTATGAATTTCAGAATGACAAACACACCTGAGTTTAAACGGGCGCTATCTCTACGTCTGTCAGAGATACTAGGTGAAATTGGTTTGAATAAGCAAATGGTGCTCAAAAGACGGAGAGCGAGTTTGTTGAACGAGTTCATATGGACAAACGCATTCAAGGTATTGCATGAAAATCCTAACACCGTGTATCGCTTTGGTAGCCAATCTGAAGGGACTACAACACCAGGACTAAAATCGGACAGTGATTTACTCATGCATAATGATGACTTCTATGTTATACACGACTGGAGTGATTGGAAACCAGGCAAAGTCAACTTGCTCATAGTACAGGATAACACTACCTCCCCTGGGTATTGTCTCCTTCAAGTGTTGGATCCAATTGAACCCACCCCTATCTCTCCTTCCCAACTCCATCTTGTACCTTCTAGGTTTCTAGTAGTTAAAGGTGAAAGGCTGTTACTAAATAACAGTTATAGGGGAAATAAAGTACACCTGTATAAGCTTGATAACAACGGAAGACGGTCTCACATGGTTAGGAATGGGCGCTGAAAC